TAGAAAATTTCTCAGTGTGCAGATTCTATCTTTCTAGAAATCCACGACATCACTTCGCAATGTTTCACATCCATCTTTGAAGATTTATTTGCGCGTTCTATCATGCCAGTTCTGTAATTTATAATTTTAAATATCAGCTTGATAATGAATATATAGTTTGGTTTGGTTTGGTTTATTTTGTTTTACGGCATATCAATCTCAATGGGTTATTTAAATCCGACAACATTTTGAGGAAAGATTGGTATGAATACAATATGTATTCTTTGGTTTCGATTGGTTTGGTTTATTTTGTTTTACGGAATATCAACCTCAATGGGATATTTAATGCCGACATTTTGAGGAAAGATTTGTATGAATACAATATGTATACTTTGGTTTAGATTGGCTTGGTTTATTTTGTTTTACGAAATATCAACCTCAATGAGTTTTTTAATGCCGACAACATTTTTAGGATAGATTCGTATGAATAGAATATGTATTCTTTGGTTTAGATTGGTTTGGTTTATTTTGTTTTACGGCTTATCAACCTCAATGAGTTATTTAATGCTGACAAAATTTTTAATTCTGGTAATATTTTGTTTAGTTAAAAATCTGTTTCTGGTAATACTTTTCCTTCAAAATTGTATTGCTGGTAATAATTTTTTCAAAAAGTATTGCTGGTAATAGTTAATTATTTGCCCATAGCTGGGACCCGAACAGGAGCTACCATCCCAGGTCATGATGGACCTGGGAACCAGCAATTAGGAGGTGGTTCCACGCTCCTCAAAACCTCCTGATCAGAGGCATTGCTTCTGGACGTAGTTTATCATCTACCCAAGACGCGGATGTAGTTTAACGTCTTACCCAGAACGAAGGGAATATATAGGTCGAAGTAATCATAGTATGAAAATGAGAAATGATCCACACAAACCCTTGTAGGAATATTATTATAAATAATTGAAAATAAAATAAAAAATAATAATAATGAAAATTATAAATAAAATAATAATATTTAAACCTTATTTAAAATAAATTAGATAAAAAATAAAAATAATAATACTCTTCTATAATGCAACAAAAACTCTGCTTGTTGAAAATACGGACATCCCGCCAAAAGATGTTAAATTCAATCTCTTCACCACGAACCTTGGTACAGGCACACGTGTGTAACTTCTCACTGTAATATGGCTTCTAATACCACGGAGTAAATTCTACCTTTTATCACATGTACCGTAAAATGTTGCAACCTAAAAAAATACACACAAAAATATAAATGAATTGTATGAAAATAACATACAATTTACCATGCTTTTATTTATGTACGTTTTATTTTATGTCAAATATAGTTTTATCTCCGTGAAGACAAGGCTAATTTCTGCTGCTATGATGTGAGTGAACCCCTGCACTAGTTAAGGTAAGATCAGTAGAGGGTAGTATGACAATATACATATGCTTGTCAATGCATCCGGTTCTGCGATAACAGAATATCGAATTATCCAATTTGTGCTTCGTTTTTCACAGGAGTTTCTTTCTCAGTCATCAGCAGAGCACGTTCAGATCATCATTTGACTTTTACTGAGATACCATATATTAAATCTAAGTAGTCTTTCCTATGTTAACAGATGGAAAGTTTGCTATATATTAATGTAATCGGTTTGTAACTCGATGTTCTGATTCTATGTTAATATTCTCTCCCCCTTTGAATTTTATTGTTGCGTGCATATTTATATATTTTGTCCAAGATTGAGCTCTGAAAAGCGAGGAGTAATACGCTGTAAGCTTTATTCTTGTCTTTTATTTAATATATTTTCTGCTCTTTCTCCCTTTGTTTTAATATAGCTACCTCCAAAAATTTTCAAAAAAAAAAAAAAAAAGTTATGTTGAAAAAGCCCCAAACTTGATAAAAACAAAGTTTTACCATCAGAACGTTTATGTTATTATTAAGAGGAAAGACAAAGATAATTTTTTATTTTATTAAATTTTTTAATCCTTTCTAGCACCTTCGAAATTTTGGTTAAAAATCTTTTTTTTTTCTTGCGTCAGCGTTTGTGCAAGATGGGAAAATTAACGTCTTTTTTGGCGATAAAAAACACATTGTTTTGAAAATTTTGTACCCCACGAAAGTTATTTTAGCAGAATCTTTTACGCCTTTGTCAGGGAAGTGACTTCTTGATAAAATCGAGCAGACATACCAGAAAATCACACCACGGGTTGACCAAGCCTTTTGAGTAAAAGTGGGTAGATGGATTTTTTCGAAAGCCGTTTATGGTTGTGTAAGCACGAAGTCACAAGTCGTCATGGCCGAGGGTTTTTAGACTAATGACCTTTTTACGCCAAATGATGCACTTTCTTCCAGAAACTACAGTTAAGGTTTGTTCAGCCTTGTGGTAGTGTAGACCATCGGTGGGCTCTGTGGTTGTAAATAAAAAAAAACAAAAAACAAAAAAATAAAACATAAATGTGTGTGAACAGTCATCTGCAAAAGGGATTGGTTTGCTACACTAATAAGTGGCTAGCCATAATTTTGCTTCTTGTATCCATTAATACAAACAGGAGGCATTACTTCCAGAAACTATAGCTAAGCTCCGTTCAGCCTATTGAAAGTTTATACTACCGATGGGCCCTGAGCATCTATTGCATATAAAGCTTTTGTATTAGTTTATATCTGTAGTTAAATGATTGTGCATCTATTAGGTGCATCATAGATACACTTACCAAGTTTCTTAATTTCTTAAGTGGATAATTCCCTTATTCGTAACACGATTCCGTGGCACCATGTTTGCGGATCAGATTGCTCGAAACTGCCTTTCCTACAATTATTTTCGATATCTTTTTAGCAAAATGCGAGAGATTTCACAAGAAAAAAAAACTTTATATGGGTGGAAGATGATAACAAAAACCAAAACATGTGAATTTACCTGCCAAATGCAGGAAATCATGTAATGCTGCCTAGAGTAAGGATATTTAACAGAGAAAACGACAGAGTTCGAATTTCACCTGTGACTGTTTGGGTTTCCTTAGCACTAATACCCTTGGAAAAGTCACGAACACCCTTTTTTGGCGGTAAAAAACAGATTGTCTTTAAAATTCCTGCGCAAGTCAAGTAATTGTCAAATTTTAATGAAATTTTCAGAATTTATTCACAAATGAATGAAGTTATCTTATAAATATTTTTTTTAGAAAATCTTGGTAATTTTTCTTTTTTTACATCTATTGCTTCAACTTTTTATGAAATATCGAGAAATTAAAATTCTAAGTTTACATTATTTAAATTATTCGGACTGTTATCCTCATCTTTATTGCTATATTCACAAAGTTTCGGTCGTTGTACGCTCCGGCTTTCTTCAGGTGATTGGAATTTCGAACAGAACCTTTTAGTAAAATGCGAGAGATTTCACACACACACACACGCACACACACACACACACACACACACACACACACACACACACACACACACACACACACACACACACGCACGCACACACACACAAAAAAAACTTTATACGGGTGGTAGATGATGATAAGAATCATGCTTCCTAGAGTAAGGATAATTAACAGTGAAAACGACAGAGTTCGAATTTCGCCTGTGACAGCTTGGATTTCCTTAGCACTAATACCCTTGGAAATGTCACGAACACCCTTTTTTTTTCCTCAGCGCTGTGTTCTATCTCCAGATAGGTGAGGGAGACTAATATATCTGAGTGCGTACTTCAGCGAACCACATATGCAGTAGTATAAAGCTTTTCGCTCCATTGTCAACCTTGACGGGGTAGACGATGAGTCAACATTTTAAATTGCAGCATTATGTCAATAATTGTATTTCTTTGAAGTTGTATCTACTTAAAAATGTATATTTAAACGTACGTCTTTCTCTGTCGCATGCGGATACCTTAGGCTTGTTAAATGGTAACGGCTTCATGTCGAAAGGAACCAGAATGGGCCGGGGTGACCCCTACCCCACAAACCATAGCTAGTGCGTTGATAACAAGTAATTACAGTTTGCATTACGGGTTTTGTTAATCTCTTCACTTATTAAGGCTATCGTACAGGCCGTGATAAAAAGCGCCAATTCTCACGGGAAAGACAAAATAACCATGCAATTAAATTTTATCCAAATATCCATTCACTCCAGTTATTTACCATGAGCTTTTTTTTAGGTAGCGAAAACGGAATCGTCGATCAGAGTTCAAATCCTAGTTGTGACATTTAAAACTACTGCATTCTTGAGACGCAGTAATCAGCCATTCACTTAGCATGCTAAAATGACTGACAAGTGTATCTGGTTGATGATTTTTTTCTGCAAATACTACACCCTTGCAACTCTTAGAAATCTGTCTCATGGCTTTTGGTGATATTGCAGACAATAAACCACCGATTTCTGTACTCTCACCCGTCGCCTGATGCGCTAACAAAGATCTCGTCACTAGCATGTCACAATATTTGGTGGAAAATAGTTGAAAGTTCTTTTGTTCTTGGATGTTGTAAAACGCTCCTTTTCTGTTCCTACAAATTGCATCCAGTTACTCGAATAGAATATAGACGTCCCAAATATTTTTTTTGAAGAGATTGTATTAAAGGATCAGTTTGGGATTAAGAAACTAACACACAAGAAATTTCTCTTTTTATAAAAGATTTTCTTTATATTCACCTGTTATAAGGCACGAGGGTAATTGAAGATAGTTGATTATGGAATAGAGTGTGCGATATGAATGCAAGAGAACGTTATTGGTCGTCTTCGTTTAGCGGCATATCAACGTCTATGGGTCATTTAATGCCGAAATCTAAATATTTTGTACGCAATTTTATTTATTTATTTTTTGAAGCTAACATGATATTTAATTAGTGATATATGGCTTACTAATTAACCCATATCTGGGGAGAAAAGAGTTGGATTCATACCTTTCCTAAGTGTATTTGCGCCTAAATTAATATAACGGACCAAACCGGAATTAGAATTTCGCTCTACGATTTCTAATTCCAAGCCGTTATCCATTACATCCCCCATACGTTCATCCAAGATTGCATCACCTGGTATTCCCAAGTAGTTATCCATCTAGGTACTGACGAGGCTCGACGTTGCTTAACTTCTGTGGTCGTACCGGAACCGATGTTTCAACGTGCTATGGCCATAAGCCAAAAAAAAACAAAACAAAAAACAAACGCAATATATTACTGTAAAGATTTTCAATATAGCTTCATATTTTCTGTTTTGAAATAACTCACAAACGATGGAGGAATACAATGAAGAAATCATCATCATCAACATTATCATCAACAACATCAGTAGTAGTAGTGATAGTCAGCAGCAGTTGCCTAAATCCTGTGTGCCTACAAACACAAGAGAGCCTATGTTGTTTCAGTATGTTCGCAGTATTACATTCTTGTCTTTCTGGTTGCATTTGTGTGAGCATTGACGATGAACAAAGATATGATATATTAAAACAATTAATGAAGAACCTGAATCCCTTTTATTTAAAGAAAAAATAAGCACGGTGTAATATATTGATAATGTCGACGTTTATATGATCTATACGAATGGAAGAAAAACAGTGCCAAATAGTCTATGTTAATTATTCTGAATATATCTATAGAATAAGACAGTGATTGTATTGATTGTCCACCGTATGCTATGTTCTGTCTGAGATAAAATTACAGTTCTTTTCCAGTTGATTGTAAATTTTAATACACTTCTTATATCCTTTAACTGTTAAAATGAAATGGAGAAATAACAGTTGAGGAAAGTGAAGAAATGGACTTTGTAGGACTACATATAAAATTTACTTAAAAGTTGAAGCTTTTTGCTCAAAAATGAATTTTTTGCATTGTTGATGTCCTTAGCAAAACTTTTCTGACTCGTCATTGTACAATTATTCTTCTATAATTCATGTCGACAATTCCAAAGCATTTGCCGAATCAAAATTACTTAAAAAAAAAAGAAGCCAGATGCATTGTGGATGCTTTATTCTTAAAGTTAAATAATGCAATTTTTTAAATGCTTCATCGTAATTCTCAACTTGTGTAGTATAATTTAAGGCCCTTCTTTTTTCTTCTTTTTCGACCCATATTGATACTGGAGTCTGGAAGCTGAAGGTGTGGCCCCGATACCCCGAATAACAAGATGTCTCGTCATCAAGGCGCCGGTCAAAGGGTTCGATTCACAATGGCTTTCTTTTCAAGCCTTTTCTGTTTGATGGCCGGCCTCACTTGTACACAAACATGGTCGAGGCAAACGGTGAAAACGCAAAGCGCATGGGAACAGGTCTTATCATCAGATAACCTTAGCCGTTGTTGTTTACATCCGATTGTCGTGTAAAGATTAAGGAGGGCATTGAAATAAAAGCAGAGGCATGAACTTTTAAAGGTCTTATTGTTAGACGAACATTTTTTTCTTTTGTTTTTATTTTTAATTTCCAGACATGTCAATTGTTTCTTTGTATTTTTTTCTCCACGAAATTCTTTTCTCTTAAGTTTTCTCTTTCCTAGAAAAAAATCATTCTTTTGTATCTGAAATCTTGAGTGCAGATATATAAATCATGCAGGTAACTGCTTCTACAATTATCGACACAAAACAGTCTTTCTCAGCTTCATTATCTAATTTGGCCTTACACCAGAATTAATGTCTATCTATCTATCTATCTATCTATCTATCTATCTATCTATCTATCTATCTATATAATCATATATATATATATATATATATATATATATATATATATATATATATATATATATATATGTTTCATTAAATGATTAAGACAAGTTTCGTCTAATTATTTTTAATAGGATCCTCCGTAATTGCGAACAAGTTTATAGTATCCTTCTTGAAGGAAGAAAGAAAATTACTATATTGATGTATATTCATTTTATTCTGAGTACTTTCGACATTAACACAATATTAAAACAATGTCGTCATCAGGGTCTTCACTCCCACAAAACCCTTTCGTTTTAGAGGCTTTATCGCCTTACTTGGGGCGATATATATATATATATATTGTGAGACCGGAACTACCTACACAATAGACTCTTCCAGGTCTATATTAAGTATGCGACACACCACTCTAGAGTGACATAGACTGAGAGATAGAGACACAGAGAGAGCCGCGTACGACTATCAGTATTGGACACTAACATATAGTAAGCTCCGCTTACACTATCTCTGTAACCTGTTGTTAATATATCTTTCTTACATCTAATCCGTGTTCCGTGTTTCCCTTCTGTGGTCCCGACTTTGGCTCCACATCAGTAGCGACGAGAATTCGAGAAACGCACTCACGGCGAAACCTCAATACCTTACCAGTTACACATCTGTGTCGACGAAGAATTCGAGAAACGCATTCACATCGAAAACCGCAATACCTTGCCAGTCCCACATTAGTGGCGACAGAAAAGATTCGAGAATTTCGTTCTCCCCATATCAATAGTGACAGAGTACTCGAAAAATACACAGAAACTCCAGGCGTTCCCACAGCAGTGTTGAGCGAGAAATTAAGCTGGTATTAATACATTAGCGATTTAAAAGCTCAACACCAAGCGTCTACATATATATATATATATAAAAATATATATATTCCGATACCAAACATCAGTGACGAGCAGTGTTTCGACATCGACAGAATATTAAAGCCTGTCCAAATAACAAGAACAGATTCTTACACACTCACACACAGAAAAAAAAAACAGTTTGTCATAAAACAAACTGACAATACAAGAGCGAAAGTACTACCATTGTACTCAAGTTTTCGAAAAGAAAAACTAAAAGTTTTTTTTTATGTAACTGAGTTGAACTTGTGCATAAAATTATTCTCGCCTCAAATTCACTGAGGCGAGTTTTTTCTTTTTGTACCACTATAAAAAAAAAATACATAAGTGTGGTGAAAATTGATACAATTACGTTAAAATTAACGGAACCACGGAATTGCAAAAAAGCTAAACACATAATTAGTTTAGTTTAACTATTGTCTGTCCATATTTTTTTTTTGTAAAAGAAAAAAAAAGAACAAATCTATCAAGATTTTTTGTGTACCTCCTCTTAGTACACGTGTTTCAAAGCAACAAAAAAGCGCTGCCGTTTTTAAATATGGAAGATTTTCAAAAAGCAGTTGACCAAATGTTAAAACTAAATTTGGATCAGCAACAAAAATCAGAAGAGAGACAACAACAACTATTTTTGGAATTACATAAACAACAAATGGAATTCCAACAAATTACGCTTCAGAATGCTGAACTACAACAGAAACAACTTAAAAAATTACTCGTGAATGCATTAAAAGGCTCAAACTCTGAAAAAGATACAATATTCTCCCAGAGTACAATCAACAATTCAATGGAAACCTTTGAATACGTACCAGAGAACGACAAAACGTTCGACGCATTTTACAGGCGCTACGAAGATATTTTCAACGTAGTCTGTGAACAATCGTCCAGTAAAAAGAAGGTACGTCTTCTATTGAGAAAACTGGGAACTACAGAACATAGTAGGTTCGTAGACTTCATACTACCCAAGAAAACGACTGACTTGGATTTTTCAGAGACTATTAAGCTCCTATCGAAACTATTCGGACCTAACACAACCTTGTTCCACAAACGTTGGAAATGTCTGAACACTGTCAAAGACAAACAGCAAGATTTTCTAACATTTGCAGCATCGGTAAACAAGCTATGTAATGATTTTAAACTAGCCGAACTGACTGCCGATGATTTTAAGTGCTTAGTTTCCGCACAAGGTCTTGTATCAGCAGAAGACGCCGAAGTCAGACCACGGGGACTGACCAAGCTTGAGAACGAACAAGGATTGACTCCAAAAACTGGCAGAGAACTGTCAAAGAGTAATATCTGTAAAGTGTGACTCAAACACTATCGAGGAATCAGGTGTGACTCTGATTAATAAAATCAAAAGTAAGTCTACCGCCTATTCCCCTCAAAAAGACAAAAGGCAAATCTCATGTCCTAAATTACGCAGTAACCAAATCCCAAATAGGTTAAAGAAACTGTGGTAAATGACATTGGATGAAATTCTGTCCAGTTAAGAACAAAAAATATTGCAATAAAAGTGGGCATACTTTAACTTCGTGCTGGTACGCCAACAGAACGAGAAAACCCCAAAATAAAATGAGGCAAGCTCAATCTGACAATATTGTCGATAGGAATTTAAGAAAATATGTAACTGTGGATATTTTCAATAAGTCCATTAAATTCCAGCTTGACTCGGGTCCGATCTTTCAACCATTAACTGGCGTACTTGGCGAAAATTAAACAAGCCGACCTTATTAAAAACGGATAAAACAGCAAAATCCGTAACTGGCGAAAAGATTAACATTTTAGGCGAGGTAATACTTACAGTAACACTAAATGGAGTTACCAAAAAGCTCAAAGCCTACGTATTGAAAAAAAACTTCAGTTAACTTATTTGGAACAGATTGGATAGAAAAATTCAATCTTTGGGATTGCCCAATGAGTACATTTTGTCTCAAGATACAAAGTACAACGTCCAATTTGGTAAATCTCAAAAAGGAACTCAAACAACAATTTCCCCAGGTTTTTTTCTGGCGGCCTTGAGAAATGTACTAAAATGAAAGCTAAGTTCAAGGTGAAGGACGGTGCACAACCGGTATTCAAAAAGAAACGGAATGTCCCTTTCGCTGCTCTAGAGCAAATCAACAAAGAGTTAGATAGACTCGAACAGGCAGGTATTCTGTCAAAAACAGATTTCAGTGAGTGGGCAGCACCTACGGTCTACGTAAAAAAGAAGTCCAATCAAATACGAGCCAACGCGATCAGAAACATGCCGGCCCCAGATAACGTTCAAGCGTTACAAAGCTTCCTCGGACTAGCTAACTTTTACCAAGGGTTCATTAAGAACATGCAAAATTTGAGAGGGCATCTCAACCAACATTTAAAAAAGGACAAACCATGGTCATGGACCCCGGAATGCCAAGACGCATTCGAGAAGATCAAGAAAACTCTTACTTCAGACCTCTCCCCCACCCATTACGACCCTAGTCTCGACATCATAGTCGCAAGTGATGCAAGCTCGTACGGCGTAGGTGCTTGCATTTTACATAAACTGCCAGATGGTTCGCGAAAAGCTGTGGCTCACGCATCAAGATCTCTAGTTCGATCTCGATATGCCCCA